TCTCCAACAGCAAATACTTTTGAAGTTAATGAATAATCTAAATACCCACTATCACATATATCACCTCCATATTTTTTTTCTATGCATCAACTTATTTTTTTAGATTTTTTCGAATTTTTTATATTTATTGACCGCATCAAGCTACATCGCAGCATCAGCCCCCCCAACACTTTTGGTCGCATCCCACATTTAAAACACATGTGAGAGTAGCAAAAGTAGGTGGAGGCTAAGGGAGATGGGTAAGTACTCTAGATTTTTAAGGATATAGAGGGGTATCTATCCAATCAGCTAATCTTTTCTAAAGTGTAAGATCAACTTGTCCAAAATTAGAAAAAAAAGGAAAAGAGAATAAATATCTACATCAACACTTGGTATGAGGAAGAATAGATTGAGGTGAAATTTGAAGCAAGTGAAACCAATATGAGCGGATTCTTGAACTCCATGGAAAAAAGTGTACTCATGCACGTCTATGAAGAATCCTTGGTCAATATGAAATAAATGGAACCAATAAAGTGCAAAGCATATCAAGAAAAAAAATGTAAAATCAAGCATATTTTTTGAGGACATCATCAAATATAGCCATGGTATTTCGCTCACCAGAAGTTCAGTATCTTTCTGCTCTATACTTAACTAACTAAACACCAATGTCATAACGGGAGCACCATAATAGCATAAGGTTACTGCAAATCAATAATTCCTTACTGTATTAAAAAATGTAGCTCGGAATGGGATTTGACAGCGAATGAGCCTGAGTCACCCAATCTCTCACTCAAACAAATCCCAAGTCAGACTGGTGGCTTTTAACAAAAATTCTAATTTCTTTGAGAAATTTCTGACTCGAGGCAAGTCTTGAGGTTTTACCTCTAGACAATGTTTAAAAAAACAGCCCACCCGGCCCCCAAGAAAAAATTTCCGTACGCCTTGACTTGAGCGCCCCAACACAGGCTGCTGTACCTCAGCAGGCGCCCAGCACAGTTTACGATTTTTTTTTTTTTAAACTTTGCCCAAAAGGGCAAAGGGGGTCATTTTGACCCCCAAGTTTGTATAAAAGAAGTTTAGGGGTTTATTTTTCAACCCCAAACTGAAAAAAACAAGAAACCCTCAATCTTAAACTTATTTATGAGAATCTAAAGCAATTGCTGAGAATCGAAAGTACTTCTTGTGGACTGAAAAAGTTCGTTTTTCTTATTGAAATTATTTTTAGAGTGCTATTGGTGGTATTAGAAGACTTTTGAGTTGATTCATAGCTCGATTGAGATAACCAACATCAAAGATCAGAGATTGGGTAGAAAAGGTCAGTTTGTAATCTTTATTTGAGTTTTATTTTTTTAATTTAAGATGTCTTCTACGGGGTCTACTAGGGTTGGAGATCCGAGATGGAAATATTGTGTTAACCCTAATAAGAATGACAAAAATAAAATTATGTGCAAATTTTGTAGACATATTTCTAATGCCGGCATAAATAGATTTAAGAAACATCTTGCCAGTATTAGAGGTGATGCCGCCCCATGTAAGAAAGTCCCAGATCTTGTAAAGAAAGAAATTTTGGAATACATTGAAGCTGAAAAGAGTAAAAAAGTCACCAAAAAAAAGGATATAACAGAATTAAAGTTGGGGGTTCATATTTTTTATGATAATATAGAAACTGAAGAAGAGGATGATGAAGAAGGGGAAGAAGAGGTAGCCATGGTTGGTACTCAGAGCTCTAAGACCAAGAGGGCTTTTGTGTCTAAGAAGGCTCGTACGAGAGGTCTTATAGATAGTTTTTTTACACCTAGCCCTGAGACAGTAATTGAGAAAGGCAAGTGAAAGGGGAAACAACATGTGACAATTGAAAATAGGTTTAAAAAGGAAGATAGAGCCAGGGTGATTCAGTATATTGCTCGGTGGTTTTACCATGCGGGCATTCTTTTAACACTGCTCGCTTGAATAGCTTCCATACAATGTTGGAAGCAATTGGGCAATTTGGGCCAGGTTTGAAAGCTCCAACTCCTTATAAGATTGGAGAGCTACTAATGAAGAAAGAAGTCGAGTACACTAATGAATATCTCGAGACTCATAAAGAGAGATGGGCTAAATTTGGGTTTTCTTTGATGACAGATATGTGGAGTGATAGGAGGAGGAGAAGTAACATAAATTTATTAGTAAATTGTCCCACGGGTACAGTATTTTTGCACTCAATCGATGCTTCCAATGATGTTCACGATGCGCATTATATATGTTCTTTCATTGATAAGGATATTGAGGAGATTGGAGAGGAACTTGTAATTCAAGTGGTCACGGATAATGCTACTCCCAATCTCGCTGCAGGTCATTTACTTCGACAAAAGAGGCCTCACATATTTTGGACTGCTTGCGCTGCACATTGCGTAGATCTTATGCTTAAGGCAATTGGTGAATTGCCTCCTATTAAAGGAATTATTTTTAAGGCTAAGGAGGTTACAATATTCATATACAGTCACATACTTACCCTTAGCATGATGCGCAAGTGTACAAAAAAGAGAGAGCTAGTGAGGCCTGGGGTCACTAGATTTACCACAGCCTACCTTAGCCTACAGAGCATGTATAAGAGGAGGATCGCATTAAGGTTTATGTTTGCTTCAGATGAATAGAGTAGGTGTAAGTGGTCTAGAGATGCCAAGAGAAAGAAGACACGAGATATTATTCTTTCAAAATATTTTTGGCATGGGGTGAAGCATGCGATATTAGTATTTCTTCCCTTGGTGAAGGTCTTGCACTTGGTTGATGCTGATAAGCCCTCCATGGGCTTTATATATGATGCAATGGAAAGGGTTAAAAATGAGATTGCAGAGAATTTGGGCAATGATGCAACGAAGTATGCCCCAATTTGGGAGATTACAGATGATAAATGGGATAGGCAGCTCCATAGACCATTGCATGCAGCGGGGTACTACTTGAACCTCAAATTCTTTTATGCAGATGTAGATATTGATTCAAAAGGGGTAATTATGGATGATTCTAATGAGTGCCTTGAGACATTAGTTCCTGATCCAAATATCCAAGATAAGATATCAACTGAAGAGCTAATTTCATACAAGTGTTCTTTGATGTCATTTGGGAAATATATAGCATTAAGCCAGAGAAACAAAGACGAACCACGTAATATTCTTTTGGCTTATGTACTTTTGTTTTATAAAATATCAATTTATAATTTTCTTTCAAGTTTTGATAATGTTAAATACCTAAATTAATTACAAAGGTTGCCCACATATTGCAGCCCAATGGTGGAGACAACATGGGAGTAGCGCTCCAAACCTCCAGAAGATGGCTATGCAGATCTTGAGTTTGACAACTACCTCTTCTGGTTGTGAGCGCAATTAGAGTTCATTTGAGATGGTATTTTACTATTTTACAATTTTATATGTTTTTTTGTTTATAAGTTCATTTTATAATATAGATTCACAAAAGGTAAGAAGATCATAGACCTATAGTAATTCCTTATGCATTATTTTTCCTTATAGGTGCATACAAAGAGAAGAAATAAGCTTGAGCAAAGGAAGCTCAATGACTTGGTTTTGTTAGAGAGAATCAAAGGCTCAAGGAGAAGAAAAACCAGCTAAAGAAGGACCCTATCTCTTCGAAAGACATGGAGAATGCTTCAGATTGACTAGTTAGTAACCCTGGTACTGAGGAGATCTTCCCTAGGGAGGGTTTGACATGGGAAGTGGTTGAGGAGGCTTCGGGGCAAGCTTCTGATCCTAGGAGCGCCCCACTCGAGCAACTTCTTCTGCTGGTACTTCACGGAGGGAGATAGACGAAGCGAAGGCAGATTCAGAAGAATATCTGGAAGAAGAGGAATATGTTGAAGGGGGTGATGATTCTGATGATGACGGCCTCACTTCTGATGCAAATGAAAGCAATGAAGATGATGATTATGATTCTTATGGATGTCTTGATTGTCTTCTCTATTCTTTGGAAGTAACTTTAATACTTATTGCACCATCTTGGTTTGGGCTTTAGACATTTGGAGTTTGAACGATTTTTATTTAGTTATGTAGTTTGTAATTTTTTTGCTTTTTTGGACTATTTCGTTGTGTGGTTTACTGGCTTTTTTATAGTTTTGGAAGTCAGTTTGTTGATGACTTGGAGAGTTGAAGACTTGGATGTTATTATGGTTTATTTTATGGACATAGAATATAGAGAATATGAGAGTTGGAGACCTTACAATAGCCTATTAGACTTTTAAATGTTTTGTACGGTTCAAAATTTTGAATAAGTTTATTCTTAACCTGATTACCTGAGAGGCTGAGACATGTGATATGTTTGTATATACAAAAAGGTATGTTGCGAACTTGCGATATTTTCAATTTCAAATGGAATAAATTACAAATTTTGACAGAAATATATGCATATATGTGCATTTGGATAGCAAATATATATAAAAAAATAAGAATTTACACTGCAGGGCACCCGAGGTTCTGGGTGTCCACCTGGCTGCCTAGCGTTTTTGAAACCTTGCCTCCAGACTAGCCAGGCCTCCTCTCCGTGCAGACTCTGGGAAGTCCCGAGAGGAGTACCAATCTTTTAAAGCCTGATTCTAGTGGTCAAAAAGCAAAATTCATGTTTATACAATTCCATAATAGAAAAAATAAAGATCCGTATTTCCCTCAACAACTTCAGCAAAGTTCATCATATAAACCAACATAGAAGTTTCACAACAATTTCAAATTTCAAATAGATGGGTATGTGAAACCCAAATCCCAAACAAAGCTGAAGAAAAGAACAAATTCCACATCACAAACATGGACAATTTCAACGCCCAAAAATCCTAAAACACTGAGACAATCAACAATCAACACCACAAAGATTCCACTGAAACCACCAAAAAATCAAGCATTTCCCTTCTTAAAAACGAGACAGAAAGCAGCTAACACCCGTGAGTACACAAAATAGACCAGAACATTCTTCCCTTTAATGCAGCAAAATATCACCCCAGAAAGAAATAACAGCAGTAAAATTACAACAAAGACAGAAAGTACCTGAAACAAAGAGGCTTGTAGAAGGAACAGCAGGAGGGTTCGGAGGAGTTGCAGAGACAGGAGATGAGAAAGGAAATGGAGAGGAGGAGAGGAGTCGCCTTATGACTCCACCACCACCTCTAAAAGCCATTGCCATTGGAGATGGTTCTCAAGCTTTTGCAGAGATCCTTAGCAGAAGTTCCTAGCGACCTAATTAGGAGTTGAAAACTAGGGTTTTACTTGAAAAGTCTCAGCGGACGGGACCTTCGTTTACTCGTCCTAAATTAGAAAAACAAACTAGAGAGCGCTTTTGCAAACTCAGAGAGCCATGCGGCAACCTCAAAAAACAAAAAAAAAAAACAAACAAGGGAAATTGCAGCTACCCCAAATCGTAACTTAAGTTTGTAGGCAACCTTCTCCCAAGAAAGAGCTTTTACCCCAAAACTACAGTTTTCTACAAATATACCCTCAAGTCAAAAACACAAAGATAAAAAAATACCAAAATGCCCTCCTTTAAGTTAAAAGGCCCATCTCTCTTTTTCTAGTCATGGTCTCTTCAGGATAGGCGGTCCGGCACTAGCTTCATGCGGTCCGGCACATCCAACATTCGGTCTGACAATTGTTTTTTTGTCTAGGTTGTTGGTTCGGCAAAAGGAAATGTGGTCCGGCACTAGGTTCCCTTGGTCCGGCAAAGTTTTGGTGGGGTCCAGCAATTATTCTATACTGTCCGGCACGTGATGACTTCGGTCCGGCCCGTCTTTACCTCGGTCCCGCACGTCTTTACATTAGTCTGGCAATTGTTGACTACGGCCCGACAGTCAACGTTTGGTTGCGTATTTTATGAGGATGTAACGTGAGCTTGTACGGACAAAGGCATTTTGGTCTAAATAAATATAACTTTTTTACTTAGGAGGGTATTTGTTAGAAAAATATTGTTGGGGTAAAAGGTGTGAAAATAAAGTTGGTTAGGGGAGGTTGTATAGAAAGTCCCTGATTGTAACTTTCTCAAAAAATAATCCCTTACAAATCTTTAAAGGAAAATATTAGAAAGGGGGTGAAAATCAAAAGTGACAAAAGATTACTGATTACAATCGTTACATTTAGGGCGCATTTGTTTTTCTGCAAGATATCTTTGAAATGTTGAATGTTTTTTTTTGAAAAGTTGTGCTCTTAAGCTTGGGTGTGGTTTGTATAAGATTAAGACCTTAAACAATCGAAATAAGATGTATCTTTAAACAGTATTGAAAGATAACTTTTTAATAGTAAATATTTTATGATAACCTGAAAATTTATTTATATTTAACTATAAAATGTAAAGTTTTTTACAAAAATGTAGATCAAGTAGATCTATAAACACTTGAAAGTATTGAAAATTAACCGCTTAAATAATGTAGTACAAGATGCATTATTTCTCAGCCTAGATAGAAATCTTTTTTTTTTTTTTTCCTTTTTTTATAATCTATATATTTTAAGGTCGAGATGATCAATTTGAAGATATTTTGACATCAAAACAACCTCTTCCAGTGAAATTTTAAGGTGCGCCATAATTTGATTGTTTAGGGCATCAACCTTATATAAATTTTTCCTTAAAGTTTTTGTATACATCATCAATAAAAAATTAAAAGTTTTCAAATTGCCCTTATTAGGTGGTGGCTATTGGGACACCCAAACAATTAAAGGTGCTTAATAATTTTACCCCGCCTTTGATAACTGACATAGAATTACTAAAACCACTTGAATTAGTTTTGGCCTCTTAATAGTGGACAAGGCATTTGATGATTTTTCAAAATTTTTTGAAGATATACTCGCTTGATATTGACATTTTAAAGATATACTCGCTTGATATTGACATTTTAAAGTATATCTTCAAACGTAATTTATAATATTTTGACTTCTTTAATAATATTTTAAAGGGTTTCAAGCACTTTTTTATTTTAATCCATTCAGACCGGACGACTAAAAATAATGCTGAGATGTTTTACACCGGGGGTAGAGCCATGAGTAAAAGCTTCCCTACTTTGATTCCTTAACCTTACTTATGCGCACCCATGAAAATAGGCTCCCTTGAGTTGCCATCAGTGGCAGCTACAATAAAAGGAAACATTTTGTAGAGACTCCTAAAAAACATTTTAGGTTCACAACACCCCCTCTTCCTCAAATTTGTATGAGTGTATATCATCCCAACCTCTCTTAGTTTCCCTCTCGTTCCTTTGTTATCATTACTCCAATAATTACACCAAACAAAATATACAATTTCTTTCCAATCATCTCTCTTGTCCCTAAGTTAATCAAGAAATGAGGGAGGGCAATTACTCAGGTAAAACAATACTTTGGTGTGGTTGATGAGATTTTCAGGGTGGGTTCTCTCTTGTATATATTGAGAGATAGTGTATTCTCTCATTTATTATTTATATTTTAATTTACTGTCTTTTTTTTCTCCCTTTTCGAATTGCATCAATTGTTATTAGAGCTTCGAGATTCATATACCATGATGCTACCACAAACAACTACGGATCTAGTTATAAAGTGTATAGATTAAATATTTGAGAGACTGAAATAAGACTTGAACAAAGTAATACACAAAAGTCTCCATGATTTACTTAGTAGATGGCAACATGAGGAACAAGAACACGAAGAGGTAAATCTCCATGCAAAAGACGATGACAACCTAAAAGTGCTACAAATTTCGAAAATCAATTATAAAAAAGAAGTTTGTGAAAGGAAAATATATATTGCATACTAGTATACAATGTATAGTTTCCTTTTTACAAAGTTATGTTGGTTGCAGTACGTAAAAATACAACCCTTTGAACTCAAATGAAATCAAGATTAAGTTGGGTATTCTAGATTTCCAATACAAGCTGGATATCAAGTGTTTGATAAATTATTTGATAGAAGAAGACAAGGTACACAAGCCAATGGTGGGACTCTATTTATCCAAGTGTTTGATAAATTATTTGACAGAAGAAGACAAGGTACACAAGCCAATGGTGGGACTCTATCTATCCAAGTGTTTGATAAATTATTTGACAGAAGAAGACAAGGTACACAAGCCAATGGTGGGACTCTATCGCCAATTATTGACATGGCCTCTAGTGGATATTATGAATTCTTGAGGTCCGAGGTCGAGCTTCTCCTAACTCTAGGAAAATTAAGCAATTAGGGTTTTAAATTTTTATTTTATTAATTTTTAGGAGCTTAAAATCCATGTTTGGGATTATATTGGGTTTTAAATTTTCTTTAGGAGCATTTATGTATTTTCGAGTTGTAGAGAATTAAGGGGAGTATTGAAAGTTTATTCATTTAAAGATGAATGATTAAAATTTAATTAGGGTTTCGTAGAATCAAGTTAGGTTTTAGGATTGTATTCTTTTATAAATTGTAACTCTTAGATAAGAAAAAATGTTGAAGATAAGAAAAAAAATATTTTTAGATATTGTGAAGAGAACTTTGTGATGGATTCCTTGAAGATAATTATTCAAGCCCCAAATCACCTATGAAATATGTGCTAATGGCCAAGTACGACTTTGATCATATTTCATATGATTAAAAAGGGAATGAGTGGAAAACACTCTTCACATATTTAGAAGGGAATTTGTAGTTGTAAATATATGGTGCTTTGCAATATTAGATGGTTGATAGGAGGATATTTATTTTTGGTTCAATAAGTGGCACGATAATTGTTATCTTTCTCTTTTCTTCCCAAATCTTTTTTTTCTAGAGTTTCTGCTCTAGAAGCTAAGATTTTGGAACTCTCTTCCCTCAATTCGGGATAATTGTATAGAACATAGGTTGCAGCTATAACAAATCACCTGATAGAGTGATTATGCAGCATTAAAGCTTGCTTTTGATTCTTGAAGATGTCTACATTTTCCCTTCTGGAGAAGACGAGGTTATTTGGGAAACAAAATGTGATGGGCTTATAGATCACTTTTCCACAATTGAGTTAGATGGTCTTGTGATTGTCTACACGCGATCTGGAAATGGCCCATTCCTAAAAATTCAAGCCTTTCTCTGAGTGGCCATTCAAGAAAAATATCTAACGGCAAAAGAGGGATAAATCTTGCCAAACATATGCCTTATGTGTAAAAATGCAAAAGAGACTGGCGGCCATCGCTTTTTGCACTGCCCCTTTGCTGACTATATTTGGAAATGGGCCTTCCAATTATTGGGTTTTTTTTTTTCTATTGCTTCTTGTCAATTTTATTTTTATTATTGATCATCTTCATATTCCATAATTACCTTCTAAAGGACTTCTTATTTGGAAGATCCTTCGAAGTGCTATCATTTGGCATATTTGGTTAGAGAGAAACATAAAAACTTTGGATGGAATATCTATGGATATTGAAAGTATTAAGGACAAAATTTTGCAGTGCTTTTGTGATTGGTTCTCTATCACTAGTGAGGGGCTTGGAATTACAAGGGTAGATATATTTGTAAATCTAAAATTTCTAGCTTTCTCCTCTATGCTTAAAGTTCGGCCTACCTCCTGTTAGACTCCACCTCCATTGAATTTTGATGGCAAATCTTCTAGCAACCCAGGGCTAGTGGGAGTTGAAGACATTCTTAAGGATCGTGAAGGGTCCATTATCTTTTTTTATGCAGGGCTATGTGGTTCAACTGCAGCTAACCAGGCTGAAATAGTCTCACTCCATCAGGGATTGGAAACTATCGTCAGCAAAAACATTTCTGGTGCTATTTTGATTTAAAGAGATTTCCTTAATGTAATCAAAGGGTACTTGATGGAGCAAAGAATCCCTTGGACTCTTCATTTTTTTGGCTGAAGATTATAGACATTTTGCTCCTCACCTAGACTACAAGTCTCCTTCTCTCATATCTTTAGAGGCGCCAATGATTCCACAGATCACATGGCAAAAATTAGGAGGTTTTTATCCTTCTTTGTCTATTTTTGATGCTTTGATTCCAACTATGTAAGCCATGCTTTCTAAGTAAATACTCAATAAAAACCCTTGATATTGTAAAAAAAATAAGACGATATTATAATCTTTTTATTTATAAGGGTAAAACCCCTCTAATGCAGTGTTTTACCAATAATAGATGAGAGAATATACCCACCTGAACTAGCCTCATCTAAGGCCAAAATTAAAATTTGTTTTTATTTTTATTTTTATTTAAAATAATATTGATATGAAATGTGGGCTATGGCTTCCTTTTTATAATTAAAATTGAATAAAAATAATAACACATATTTTGAATCATTAATATTGATCAAAATAAATTAGGAGCATTTTGGTTATTTTCTACTTAAAATATATTTTTATTTAAAGTATTTGTCATCATTTATAAAAATACACCTACACCCCAAAATTCAGATAAATATCTTGTTTTAAATAAAAGAAAAAAATACGAGACTAATTTTGGGTCATTGAATATGACCTTGTGAAATCTCAACCATTGAGCATCCTTCCACCCCTACACATGACGTGGACGGAGTACTTCTTCCATTAGGACAATGCATGAGATATGGGAGTTGGGCACCTTTTGGTCTTGATTGATAGAGAATAAGGACCACATCATAGTGTCCAAGTTTTGGTTGATGGACTGATATAAGGACCACAACGTATGGTTTAAATTTCAAAATCTACCTACCAAACCTGTCATAATATATGCATATTAAAGTAGAACGGTTCAGTTGTAGCACCAAGATCTCAGGTTCAAATACTAGCGTACCCACCAAAATAGCATCATTTTATTTGGAATCAAATGTATTTTTTTTCCTTTAAATAGCTTAGTTTGAATCGGTGATTTATAAAACACGGGGTTGGCATGGAATCCCCTGATCTGACTCAAGAATCAGTCATCCCGTTCTGGTTATGCGTATATATACGAGTCTATAAGGGAACCGGTGCTTCTGTACAATAAAACAGCGATTCTCTACACTAAATAGCGATTCAGACCAGTTTTTGGCTGGTTCACTTTTTTTTCATGTGTTTTCGTCAGTTCACTGTTTTTTCCGCATAGTAAAACAATGATCCAGATCGCCCATTCACCGATCCGGACCAATTCTTGGGGTGCCCAAGGTCACTTATCCATTTTCTAAATCACTAGTTTGAATACATTCGGTGGCTGCAAAGAGTTGGTTTGAATCGCCATTCCATCTCAAAAAGAAAAGCTGAAAGGGAAAACTTTACTACCAATAATCCATGCAGGAGCATTGGCCCTCATCAAAATGGTGAAATCGCTTACAATCCCTCACAACAATTCTTCTCCTATAGATCTTGGAGACAAGCTTCATGACTAAATGGCAGTCTCTGCAAATCCGAAGGTTCTTCGCCACAAGAATTGAGCTCTTGGGCTCTATATTGATGAGACGGACGCGATGGCGAGCTTCTCGCTGTGAAAGATCAGCGCATTCTCCATCTCCTCTTCGTCTTCTATGTCGAGCAAAATTTGGTTCGTTTGGGCCACATAACCTTTGGATCTTAACCTCATATTGATCTCATCAAGCATTGAATAGATCTCCTTTGTTTGAGGGTGTCTCTTGTCACCCACATGGAATTGGTGTACCACACCATTCAATTCTACCCAACTAAAACCTGGTTTTTTATAGACTCCCCTCTCATCCATCATCTTTCTCACGTTTAATGCTTCATCCCACCTTTTACAGGAAGCATAAATATTGGACAACACAATGTACCTTCCACAATGGTGAGGCTCAAGTTCTAAAAGCCATCTCCCCACCCATTCACCCAGTTCAAGGTTGCCATGTGCCAAGCAAGCACCCATCAGAGCTCCCAAAACGGCAGAATTAGGTTCGAAAGGCATCGACTCTATGAACTCTCGAGCTTCTCTGAGGCGACCAGCACGACCCAATAAGTCCACTAGACACCCATAGTGCTCAATCTTCGGTTCCAAGTGATATCGAGAACTCATCAGCTCAAAATAATGGAGCCCTTCGTCGACCAAACCTGCATGGCTACAAGCACTAAGGACACCCACAAATGCCACACAATTGGGCTTCAATCCCTGACCTTCCATGTGTGAGAAGAGGTCTATAGCTCCCTTTCCTTCCCCATGTAAAGCAAGACCCACAATCATCGCAGTCCAAGAATTTACATTTCTCTCAGGCATCTCATGGAAGACCATTAAAGCCAGCTCTAAAGTCCCACACTTGGAATACATGTCTATGAGTGATGTGCCCAAGCGAATGCTTAGCTTGATTCCATGCTCACCCATTAAAGAATGAACCCATCGCCCTAACTCTAAAGCACCCATATGAGCACAAATCGATGTGATAGACACCAATGTAGCTTCATTTGGCTTCACACTAGCGCATTGCATCTCTTTAAAAAGCTTCAAGGCCTCTGCAAAACTACCAACACGGGCATAAACCCCAACCATACAAGTCCAAGCAACAGCATTCCTTTCAGGCATCTCATCGAAGATTTTTCGAGCCTCTTCCACTCTCTTAACCACCCCATACGCATGCATCATCGAAACCCAACTCACCAAACTCCTCTCAGGCATCTCATCGAAAACTCGCCTTGCTTTCTCAATGCACCCACACTTTCCATACATGCCCAAAAGGGCATTTCCCACTCTAACATCAACCCACAAAAGCTTCTTGTCCAGCAAATAGTCATGAACTCTAAGGCCAGAGCTCTCATCCCTCGTTCTAGCACAAGAAGAGAGCAGGCCCACAATGGCCGAACCTCTCACCTCGGCACCAACTTTGTGCATGAGGCTTAAGAGAGAGAGAGCTCTGTGAGGTTCGTTACAGGCGGAATAAGAGGATAGGATGATGGTAAAAGAGGCTTGATCTCTTTGTGGCATTTCATCGAACAGTTGGCGTGCGAGCTCGAGTTGGTGGGTCGTCCCATACATGTGCACGAGTGAGTTGGAAAGGAAGGTGGTGGTTGTTGTTTTGTGGGTGAGGAGAGCTAGCTTTAGGGAGTGGCAGTGGATGGCAAGGCCGGATAGGGGAGAGGGTGAGGAGGTGCAGGCACGCGCCAGGTGGATTAGGGTTTGGAAATTCATTGGGAGAGGCCATGAGAGAGAGACTCAAATTCCCTGGCGCGTAAATAATGGAAGAAAATTTAGAGAGAATGTGCGTGAAGAATGGTAGAATATTTTGAGAGAGAGAGACTCAAATTCCTTGGGGTCTGAAGAATTGAAGAACATTGAGAGAAACAGACTCAAATTCCTTGGGGTCAGAAGAATGGAAGAATATTGAGAGACTGAGGATACAAATCTAATTACAAGAAATAATAAAAGGTACTTTCAAATGTAGAATTAAAAATCTTGCAACACATTATCTACATAGACCATAGACCATTTTCAAATGTAGAATTAAAAATCTTGCAACACATTATCTACATAGACCATAGACCATATTCAAGATTTTTATATGTTCGTAGATCTACTTGATTTTAAATTTTTAATTTAAAATTTTATAATTAGATATAAAAATAGATTATCAAATAATCCAAATGATTTTAAACCAAAATTGCGCGTTAATTAGATTGTTTAAAATCTCAATCTTATAGAAACCATACCCATAATAAAAATCTAATCCATGACTCTACGTAAACCTCAAGTCCAAAGGATGGCTCAAAATTTCCTATTCCAGAGAACTGTTGGAATATTCGGAGATTTTGGCTTTGGGTAAATATTATTATAATGCTCATTTACGTAGAATCGTTCATGTCATGGTAGAAGGAGAGCAAAGTTTGCATTTCGGCTTAGGATATTTTTATATGGAATAATTACCCTATTAATGTTTTGATATGGGATTTTGTACAGTAAAATAGTTTGATAGGGTTACGGTCCTATCAAGGTACTCCTCATAACCCATCAAAAATTACAATTCTCGAAAAACCTTTAAATTGATGATCTCGACTTGAACAATATGCTTGTGAAAAAAACATAAGGTTTCAATTTTTAAAAATAGTGTATATTGTAACAAATTATCTAGACCGTCAATTTCACCTTAAAAATAAGTGTTCGCAAGTCTACAAAATCTGTACTATTTTTTTTAGCTTTAAATTTTATTATTGGTGTTAGAAATTGATTTTAAAACCATTGTAGAAAGGAAAAAATTATATAAGGATGCAACCTTATAATGCAAAACTACAGATGCACCTCAAAAATCTATCAGAAAAGGTAGTTTTAATGTTGAAAAACTCTTTGATTGATCGACATCGAGATGTATGACCATAAAAAATAAAAAGATTTTAAGCCTTAGAAATAGAGTATTTTACAACATATTATTTAGACCGTCCATTTTCAAGATTTTCATATGTTTATAGATCTATTTGACTTTAATCATTTTTAAAATTTAAAATTTTATAATTAAATATAAAAATAGATTTTGAGATAATGCTAAAAACATTTTACATCAAAATTATATACCCTGATAAAATTTGAAGGTGCACCTTATACGTCTAGAGCTACGGATGTATCCGTATGCCAACTGTGCCCTAATAAAAATTTCCTTTTCCAAAATTGCTTTTCGGATGAGGATATGAGGTGAGGCTTTATTTTGTTTTTATAAAACCTATGCTTTTCGGATGAGGATATGAGGTGAGGCTTTATTTTGTTTTTATAAAACCTAGAGAAGCCTCATCCTTTACTACCCTCATCCTTTTCTAAAAAAAGACAAAGTATATACGGGAAGGTTTTGAGGGTCTATTATTACCATGTGATGATTTTCTTGCAATAAATTATGGGTACCACCCCTAGCATGGATTATTATTTGCAGTTACCTTTCTACTGTCAAAAATCCTAAAATCCCTCTTAACAGTTTTCTAGAATCCCCCAATACCTTGCTTTAGTCTTTGCTGCGATTGTGTGGAAGCCGGTGCAGGCACAGTGGCAGGGATGAGTATCCATGGCCTCAAAATACGAGCAATTTCCCTCGCTAAGCAACACCACGCTGTTAAAAATCTAATGCACCCTGCTCGATGCCCGCCACTGCCTTCCCTTTCCTGGCCAACCCGCTGACTGTCATCACCAACTTATACAATGCCGTCGATGGATCGTCGAGAAGCAAGAGGCTTAGATTTGGCCCATCGGCGATGAGACTTCCTGTGATCTAATTTTCCATCCAGGCGCTCAAAAGAGTGGTTTTGCTGCTACTAGATGGGCGCCAGGATTTCGCCGGGCGGGCGAGACTATACCCGTTATTCCTATAAGCAATGTGCATTCTTCTCTTGATTTTCTAGATGGTTTTTGGCCGATCAGATTTCTGCTCCCTGTGCTCTCCGTTGATTGTAACTTACTGATGTCCGAAAACTGCAAGGAGGAAGTCGAAAAAACCAGCCAATTTTTAGAGAGATGCAGGGAGATTGTAACGCAGGTTTTCTAGAGAAAGAAGTGCAAGTGTGCGTTTGCATAGAGAAGAGAGTGGTGCCTCCGGATTAGAACTCCAGCAGTGGGGAGTTTTGGAAGGTTGTGAATAAGCAGAGAGAGAACAGGGGGATTTCATAGAGCTGACAGGTAATACAAACGTCTTACAGTTTGGGTTTGAAATTAGGAAATGCCTTTTTTTCATATGGTATTTTTAATGCCGGACAAGAAAGTAATTAAGAAAAAATAAATAATAAATAAAAAACTGCTAGAGAAGAGGGGTGGTGCTTATAATTTATAGCAACAATATCATCAATTGATGATAGACCCCAAAAATATCGTATGTAATTTGATATTTATCTTTTGTATATAGAGGTTACAATTATTATTGTCCCTTGAATTTCAAAATGGGTTGTTGTAAGAGTATTATTGAATAGAAACGAAATATTTTTTAAAAAAAATCTCTGACTTCGGGCTCACCCGAGCCATCCAATCTGATGTCTAATGAGAGAGAACGATTATTCCAAAAGATAAATGATATCTATGTGTTGATATACACTCAAAAGTTGATGCCATTTGCATACTTTTACAATCAATTGTTGGCAATGTGTAGGTATTTAGATTTGACCATCTTAAAAATGATCCGTCTATTACAAGCTTAGGCCATAATTTTTTTTAATATGAGTCTCATATGCGTAAAAAAAACTTGTTTGTTTCTTTGGAAAATTCTCTAATGTCATTTAGAATTAACGTATTTTAAAAATGTCTCTTATATTTTATATATTACGATCATGTACCTTTTTCATTTGTTTATTTTTTCTAAAATACCTTCAATTAAAAGGAAAATCATTACATGTGGGCTGGACCGCATTTCTACAATATGCGGTCCCAAGGTATAAAGCATCCATCTTAAAGATGGATGCAAATAAGTGGTCCATCTAAAAACAATTGAAACTAACGGTTTAAGTAGTTTCTTCATAAAATCAATTTTTTGATTTCTTAAAATTTATTTATTTATATTCATGATCTCCATGTTAGAGATTACATGTCCTTAAAATTTGGGCCGAAAATCCATCTCAAAAATAGATTTTTAAGAGTGATTCATTTCTACATGGACTCATAGAAACCGTGTCCCAATTGAAAATTGTTAGTTATGAACCGCTCATTGGAATTCCAACAAGAATTTCAAAACAAGTAGTTTTGGACTGTTTTGATCCACCGTTGCATCTTTGTATGAAACAAAGTGGTCAGGAACATCCATGACCATTAGTTCTTATGCGCTTTGATTCCTTACTGAAAATCAGTGTTTGAAAACTCATCGAGTCGGGCCGGACTCGCCCGGTTCGACTGCTGTCGAGCCGGTTCCATAAAAAAATCGGGAATCGCCCTTGTCTAGAGAGAACCGGACGATTCCTAATAGTGAATCGTGAGTCTCATAGAAAAAATATTTTTTTTATACGTGCCCGCCTCACGAGAACAACACGTGGCCACAAGTGGCCGCTTCACGGGAGCAACACGTGGTAACTCACCTCACATGTGTTCCCCCTCGCCTTTCTACACGCACAATGGAGCATCTATTACAAAGGACTTTATAGAGAACCAAGCAACACTCATCCTTCGATGTGGGATATTTCCCACAAAAAATCATTAAAGCAAGATGCTTGAATATATATTATTATAGAATCAAATAACATCACATGAGGCGACGTGGCCGTGTTGGTTGACGACCTAAATTTTACGGTGGACGTTTAGGGTTCGAACCCCTTAGTGCACAACAAAAAAAATTTTGAGTTCCCTTAGCCTTAGCGCACAACAAAAAAAAATTTTAGTTCAAACCCCTTAGCACACAACAAAAAAAATTTTGTTGTCAAAAAAATAAACAAAGGCAAAAAATACTGTTGTAAAAAAATAGAAAAAATATAAAATAAAAGGCTTTTCAAGATAAAGATAAAAAAAATAATACAACATTTTCTTATTTTTCTTGTAAAAAAAACACAATTTGTTGTTAAAAAAATAAACAAAGGCAGAAAATACTGTTGTAAAAAATAAAAAATAAAAAATAAAAGGTTTTTCAAGATAAAGATAAAAAGGATAATACAACACTTTTTTATTTTTCTTGTAAAAAAAATACAAGGTAATATAACAAGTATTTCTAGCAAAAAAATAAAACAAAAGGCATAAAAAAATAAAATGTACTTTGGCAGCATCAATTTTGTATTTTTCTTGTAAAAAAAATAAAAAGTAATACAACAAGCAAAAAAAAATATAGTAGAACATCTTTTTCTTTTGTCAAAAAAAAAGAAAAAGATAATCAACAAGTATTATATTTTTCTTGTAAGAAAAAGTAAAAGATAATACAATAAGTATTTATTGTCAAAAAAATAAAAGGTAATTCTTAATACAATCTAGGAATAAATGGTCTAATTATATATATATTTTTTATAACATGATGGTCTTTAACATAAATTTAGTAATATTAATTTAAAAATAGGATTCATACAATGAGGCTATTTGAAATCTCTCTCTTTCTACTGACAATCTCTTCTACTAATTTATTTTAGAAAGAAAATTGGTACGCATTCTAATAATTTCTACGTTAATAACTAAATCTTTTATTTTATTTATTAATTTTTGTATTATAAATCATGTAGTGTACTATTTTTCTTACAGTTGTCAATAATACATTTTGAATTAGATGATATTATAAAATATTTTGGATATGTTATTATTCATATAATAAAATAATTATAAAATATTGTTGGTAAATAATATTATAGTTAGTTAGGTTGTAATAATTTGGGTTTTTTTAGCGGATTAGGGTTTTCCACCAATTCGAGATTTTAGTGGCCAATTCTTCATCGATTTAGTCAACTCTTTATTGTAGTCCATATATGATTATATACTTAATCCATGATAATTCTATGATTTCTTTTGTGTGCTGTAAATTTAACAGTCAACATAAGTTCATATAGGGAAAGAACATCTCAATATTCATAAATTGATGAAAACAATGAAAGTTAATAATGTAGTACCCTCATTTCTTATTGGATTCTTAAAAAACAACATTTATAATGAATTTTAATAATTTTTTTGAATTCTTTTAAAGCTTAATCCGAACGATTCAGCCCGATTCCTGATCTGAATCGCTGATTCACCGATCCGAATCATTTTTTGGGATGATTATGGGTCCCGACCTCTTTGATTCCTTAGTTCTCGACATCTTTGATTCCTTAGTTCCCGACCTCTTTGATTTCTTTCAATGAGCAGCATGGAATTATTAGTTATGAACCACTTTGATTTCCTACACCGAATGGTTTAAAATGAATATTTCTGTACTGGTTCAACTCTTTACAATTTTTAATTACCACTCGTTATAAGAGATATTAACATAATTTTCCCTTGTACTTTTATTTTGAAGGGAAAAGTTTATATAGAGCCAAGGCTCTAAACAATCAAATTCGAGCCTATCTCAAAAATTTCTCTAGAATAGGTTGTTTTGATGCCCAAATATCTTCAAAGCATCTCGACATCAAGATGCATGCATGGACATGAGAAGAAAATGGATTTCAAGTTTTGGAAATAGTGTATTTTGTAATACATTTTTGGACCGTCAATTTTCAAGATTTTCAAGTTTTCGTAGATCTGTCAATCTATACTATTTTTGAAGCTTTTAAATTTTATAAATAAAAATAAAAATATATTTTAAGGCTATCACAAAGAATTTCAGTATTGAAACCACATTTCTTGACACTATTTGAAGGTAGGTTCTAATTTGATTGTTTAGAGCCTAGACCCTATACAAACCGCACCCTATTTTGAATGATAAATTAAATTGGTCACATCCACTTAATCCTAAAAAGCGGTTGGATTCGTACGGTCTAACCATAAAAGTGAAGCCGCACTTCAAGACCCCATTGGAGAATGTAATTTTGAGGTCGAAATAACTCTCAAATTGATCAACCAAACCTCAACAATTATGGATTTAAGAAAATATTCAAGCACGAAAGATAGTGTCTCATAACACATTATCGAGGCAGTTCATTCCGAAATATTTTTTTTTTTTTAGATCTATTGTACTATTTTTGGAGCTTCGAAATTTTATAATCATGGACAAAAATAGATTTTACAACCATCATAAGGGTTTTCATAGCTGGAATTGATTTGCGTGTGTGCTTTTGTGGTGCGGCATTACTTTTAATGTAAGCCTAAGCCTTATACTGGTCGTGCTTTTGTTTAATGAACAAATGACGCATGTTACTTTTTATAAAAAAATTATATGAGACTATTTACATTTAGTACAAGAAGATCACAACTACTTATAATTATCTAATGTCAAATTTAATAGCTTGAAGGTGTAATAAAATTTGTGAAAACTTCTTTTGAACTTTGCCTTTGGTCAATGGAATAAATGCGCCTTTCAATTTTACTTTTGCCTTTTATAAAAGCACTCAAATTAAATTTCACATTTGCCTGATAGGGAACAATCTCGTAGCGGTTGTATTAGATATAAATGGGCTCACAGTATGCATGACTTTCTTATGCTTGAGATGCAAGTGATAAATATGCTTACCAGTAACACACGGAGGCTTCTTATGCAACATGAACTGAGGAAAAACAATGATCGAACCGAAAAGCAATGATCAAACCGAAGGCTTAGCTCTTGTGAGGTGGGTTTAGTTTCATTTCATGGAAGCATCATTTTTCGCCATTAATTTGTGCTGAAACCATGGAATCAGACCTCATACCTGCAAATGCCAAAGAATCCATTCCCACCATTAACCCACATCCACTCCAAGCAAATCCACGCCCACCTTATCAAATCCAACCAAACGCATTACCCATCCTCCTCCATAACCAACCTTCTCCTTTCTTACTCATTCCACAACCTCCCCTATGCTTCCAAACTTTTCTCTCTCCTCCAAAACCCAAGTACGTTTCTCTGCAACACCATCATAAGAGCACACTCAAACAGCTCCACCCCACTTCTTGCTTTCTCTACCTACAAGCAAATGCTTCATTCTAGCATCCCCCTAAATACCTACACTTTCCCTTTCTTACTCAATGCTTGTGCCCATGCACCATCATTAACACAGGGGAGGTGTATCCATGCTCAAGCTTTTAAGCTTGGATTGCACCCAAATGTGTTTGTCGACAATGCTTTGATGCAAATGTATGGTCGAACCTGTGAATTGGACTTCGCAAGACAAGTGTTTGATGAAATGCTTGAAAGAGATTTGGTTTCTTGGAACACCATGATTGGTGGCTATGTGTATGGGGAGAACTTTGATAAAGCAATCAGGCTTTTCGAAAGGATGAGAGAAGAGAAAGTGACGGGGAACGAGGTAACTGTAGTGAATGTTCTATCAGCTTGTGCTAGAGCAAAGGATTTAAGGATGGGTAGGCATATGAATGAGTACATTCGTGCGTATGATGTGGAGTTTAATGTGATTGTTGGGAATGCTTTGATTGATATGTATGCAAAATGCGGGAGCTTGGAGGATGCATGTGCGGTTTTTGATGGCATGTTAGAGAAGAGAGATGTGTTCTCATGGAACTCGATGGTTTCGGCATATGTTAGGCATGGTTCGATCGAGATGGCTCGTGTGCTTTTTGATGAGATGCCTGAGAGAAATGTGGTTTCATGGACCTCGATGATAGCAGGCTATGCTCAAAATAAACAACCTGAGGCAGCAATCTCTCTTTTTAAAGAGATGCAATTGGCTGGAGTAAAGCCTGACGAAGTAGCGATGGTTAGTGTGCTTTCTGCTTGTGCAGATTTAGGGGCACTTGATCAAGGGAGATCGATACATGTTCATGTGAGCAAGAATGGAATTCGAGTTAGTAGTATCCTTGGTGCCGCACTGATTGACATGTATGCCAAGTGTGGGAGTGTTGAGGAGGCGTTCAAAGTCTTTCACAGGTTATCTGAGAGAGATGTGAACCCATGGACCACTATGATAAATGGTCTAGCCATGCATGGGCATGGTGAGTCATGCTTGGGTTTATTCTCGAGCATGGAGAGATCAAATACCAAGCCCAATCAGATTACCTTTGTGGGTGTTCTTTCTGCATGTAGCCACACTGGGCTTGTCGATGAGGGTTTCCGGCACTTCTGTCGAATGAGTGAAGTTTATGGCATTGAGCCTTGCATTGAGCATTATGGGTGCATGGTGGACCTTTTGGGGCGTGCCGGTCTTTTGACGGAAGCTCAAGATTTTATTGAGAAGATGCCAATTAAACCCAATGCTGGGATTTGGGGAGCCCTATTGGGTGCCTGTCGGATCCATGGCAATGTTGGGGTTGCCGAGAGAGCAGCTAGGTTTCTCATTGAGTTGGAGCCTCACCATGGGGGCCGATATGTGCTCATATCGAACATATATGCGGCTGCAAATAGGTGGGATGAGGTCACAAAGGTGAGGAAGATGATGAAAGACAGGGGAATTGAAAAGGCTCCTGGGTGGAGTTGGATAGAGATAGATGGAGTTGTCAGCCAATTCATTGTGGGGTTCCAGTCACACCCCCAAGCAGAGGAAATAAAGTCAATGTTGGATGAGATAGGAATGAGGCTCAAGGAAGTTGGATATGAACCCCAAACAACACACACCCTATTTGACATAGAGGAGGAAGAGAAAGAGCATGCACTCTACTATCACAGTGAGAAGCTGGCTATTGCATTTGGGCTTATTAATACAAAGCCGAAGATGCCGATTCGGATCATGAAGAACCTACGTGTTTGTGGTGATTGTCACACTGTGACAAAGCTCATCTCTAAGGTTTATGATCGAGTGCTCATCGTTCGTGATAGGAATAGGTTCCATCATTTTGTAAATGGGTCTTGCTCTTGTAAGGATTACTGGTAAATGTTTGATGATAATTCATTAATGGTTATTGTTTTGGGCCAATAACTTTCTTGTTATTGTGGGCTTGTGCAAGACTATTAAGTTCAGCTTGAGGGCTGTTATGAGCAGCAAGGTGACCAGGTAATTTGGGGTGTCTTAAGGTTTCGTAGTTCTCTTTAGGAGGAGGCAACTGAACTGTTATGTCTGTCTAACTTCATTTCTAGACTGTGTGGTCAGAACTTGCGTAGTTTGATCTGAATGGTTTATTCTCTTTTTCCTGCTTAATACTTTGTAGGTTGAGAATTCAGCCTGTTCCCCATTCCGACTTCTTTTTTTGGGGGAACTATGAAGTTCGATAAGCTTCAAAGAGAGTCACCTTCAACATCATACTTCACCTCTTCGTCTACCGCATTTACAGGCTGCCATTTGGGTTTACAACCTTTCTTGTAGAATGTTGTAGTAATCTGCCCCGTCCATCTTATTTGGGCGGTATGGTAATTACATTAGGCGAGAAGTATAAAAATTTTAGTTTAATTCGATGTATAAAAAATAATAAAATTAGAATACTCAAACATGCTCTCAACCATCCGTGATGGTGATTTGATCATTCTATTTTTTAAAAATTATTTTTCTACAATTTCTATAGGTGCGTGAGAGCAACAAGTACATATGCACAAAATTTTAGCCCAACCTGTTCCATAAGATAATAAAGTAAGATTGAAATGCTGTGACATGCTTTCAACTCATCCAAAAAGTGTTTTGTTTTTTTTTATGTAATTCAGATTGTCCATTTTGTTAGACCTACCATCGATAACTTCTTGAAACTCCTTGTATATTAATTTCTTGAAGCTTTATAGAGAAGAAATACATGTGGCCCCGTGTGGGAGGGCTTGTCCGGGACAAAGGCATAATTCTTCGACACCTACATGGCGTCAATGCTTCGTGTCCATAAATTGGGTGCACCTGTAATCCATCTAAATCCGGGGATTATGTCATTTATCAATTGATTTTAATGTGGCCAATTATAAGTCTTGCTTGGGACCAGCATTTTAAAACTCAGCCGAGGCCACTCGGCCGAGGCCTCGTCATTTGGGAGAGGCGAGGTTTGGGTGTACAATATTTTTTTAGTTCAATTATCTTAACAGCTCAAATTTAAAATGTGTTATAAAGTCTTGCCGGTTATTATTATATAATAAGTTTTAACCCTGTCAAGTTCGAATCCCTACCGTTGTACACTACTTCTAAAAAAGTTATCACTCCACAATCAAGTTCGAATCCTACTGTTGTACACTACTTTTAAAAAGTTATCATTCCACACGGGTGCGCCATTTTATGATGTATATGATAAAGATGGCGCTTGTGATATATAACCCTTAATTTTATCTTTATATTTTTATTTTATTTTAAAAAAAGAGCTGGATTTGCGTCTGAGTAAATCACCTCGGCCAAGGCCCGAGTACTTTGACCGAGTCGATTTTTTTAACATTGTTTGAGACTATGGGTCACGGGTCTACAAGGTTGTTTTTTGAGAAAAGGGTCGAGGATTCTGGGAAGAGCTGAAGTGGAGCACCTTGATATTATGCATTCAAAACCTAGGGTGCCTTGATAGTTTGGTAATTTTTTTAAACTCTTAATAATTTTTTTATGGTATTTTTTATGGAATGGGATTATTTATGAGAAACTCCAAATAATAACAGCACATTTGATGCATGCACAAATACAAGACCGAGATAGCCAATAGGCCCACACATGCTCATAAAAGTACTTGGGATCGCATGTGTGATCCACTTTCTCTCACACACCTTTTTGTCTGGAGAAATGCATGGGGCCCAAATGATCATATATGGAGAAGCATCTTACAAATTGTTTGTTTGGATGCTTCTTCATGTGATACGTATTAGTTACACATAGATTAAGGGAGTGCGCTTGAGGAAACTTCTAGAAAGGGTCGTAAGGTTTGATACTTAAGCCTAAACTTAGAGCTTTTGGTCATATTCAAAGTATACTAGACAAGCTCTCCATGTTTTCATGGATTTCCCCATATGCTAGAATGAAGTGCATGCCCTCTCTACAATGTTTCTCTCACAAATTATGTTTTGAACCACAAGTAAATTGTCCTAGTTTTCAAACCACTTAGCTTATTATTTTCTTAATCTCTAGCTCATAATATGAGGCCATATCATGATCATGGAATATGTTTTCTAGGTTACATTTATTCTTCCCATATACTGAGTGCGATAGAGCCCAGATCATTGTTCCATCGGATTGGAATTCTAGTGTGGGGTGTGTTAAGTCGCACAAGGAAATTCTAGGCAAATTGCATGAAAATTCAATTCCCATAGCTTGTGTCTTTTAAGCACAATTTTAATGATGTATATGTCAAATGAGCTTGCAACATGAGTTGTAAAAGCTTGTTTGATGAAATTCTATGAGAATTATATAAGGCCAAAGTGTAGCTAAGTAACTTATTGTTTTGTGTATATGCAATCTCATGTTGTTAAAGTGAATGGAACTACTTTGGTCATTGTAAAGAGGTATTTCTTGTTGGATGAGTGTGGCCATTAAAAGTCTTATGTGTGTTTGTAAAATGAAATGATATAGTGGAACATGAATTCAATAGACTGTGATCCCTCGTGGACCATACTAAGCAAACGATGTTTGTTGATACTGGACTGTGCTTGGCCATCTAGGTCAGTTGGTTGGGAAAAACTCATATTATCTAGGCATAGAGTATAAACCGATAAGGGTTCTAATGGGTCATCCCTTGATGAGGTCGGAGTATACCGAAATAAGTGAGCCGAGTGACTGTGTGAGCCTTGTGTGTGATGGTGGCCATCAAAGACGGGGGCCAAAGCCTCATCCATGTACCATCACACGGCATGCATATTGAAAGATGGTTTCGGGAAAGCAAGCCACCTTTCAGGGTAAAGTGTGTGCATGTGCGAGAGATATCCATATGCGCTATAGGAGTTGTGGTCGCATCAGGTCTAGTTGACCTTGGCCCGTCTCAAGGGGAGAACTTGAAATCCACAGACTGAGATTGCGACCCTTGGCTCATCGATCAAATTTTGGTGACTTATTAATGAACCTCTGAATGGATTGTGGGTCATGGGAAACACTAGGTCTGTTTGATAAAGCAAGTGTGGTCCGTAGTCCACAGTTGAGGGTGGAGTGCCCCAGTGCTTGATTGATTTAATTCCTAAACCATATTGATTATTTTTCCATCTAATGATTTAATTATGTTTGTTTTATGATATATATCATTTAAAATTATTATTTGAATTTTTCTAGATCTCTGGATATTTTATTTATCAAATTTGGATCTATAAAATCAGATATATTGATTTTACAATGGTTTAAATATTCAAATAATGTTCTAAAAAATTCTTTTAAATATATAAAAATTTCATGGGGGCCCATTGTGCACATGGGCCCACCATATTTATAGAAGGTGGGGGCCATGAATCCCTTCCTTGGGTGGCATGCCCTACCCTTTATTCTCTTTCCTATTTTTTTTGGGATATGGTATGTGGCCATGTGGTTGAAAGATATTGACTTAATATATCTTTGAAAGATTTTGTGGAAAGATTGAGTAGACTTGTGCTATTTTATAATATTTTGATTAGATTTATTTTATTTTATTTCTATTGATAGGAAAATGGTTTAGAAAAGTGGGATAAAAGTTCTAGCACATTCCATAAATATTGATGACCCATTTATGGAATGGATGGCTCAAATCTCTCACCGTACAAGTCACTCAAGACCAATGGTTCATATTCAATCTTACAGGAAGAGGCAAGCCAAGAAAAATCCCTAATCTTATTGGAAACATATAAAAAAGGGATTATCTCTATCCCAAATCTCTATACATTATCTTTCTATCTCTCTCCTGAGAAAGTTTTTATCTCTCTCATGAAAGCCCAAAGGGGGCACGTCCCACTCTCTCATCTTGATCTCTCTCTCCCACATTGTAAAAACGGGGCTAAGAGCTTATACTATGGGGTTCTTCTCACTGCCATCTCTCAACTATGAATTTATAGTTAAGGGTTTTTAGGGTATAGCAAAAAGGGAATCCATCTCTTCAAACTTGGTTGCTAAGGGAATTCACCGAGGGGTGTGAGGTGTGAGGTGTACTAAGCAGTTTGAAACATTATGTTAAGAATGAAAATTGGTTTAATGACATCAAGGTTTTTAAGATATTGGATTTTTTAGTTTTTATTTTATTTGAAATAAGTATTATTGTAATAAGATTACTTGTAAGTGATATTTGTCAAAAGAAAAGAATATGAGTGAAAAGAAGAAAAAAAAAAATATATATTCCCTTGCAAGATCACATTAGTCTTTCATTCAGTGGTATCAGAGCTATTGATACTTGATGTCATTAGTTATCTTTTCTCTTTACTAAGTCTAGATCAAGTTTGAGAATGAGATATAAGAAAGCTAATGACCTTTGTGGTCATCTGTGGTTAAGAATTATTGGAATATTCAAACAACGAAAAAGACACCCTGCAGAATGGTATTCTAAGCTATTTTGGAGGAGTGATATGAAGAAGATAATAATGTATTTTAATATTACATACTTCAGTGATATTGTGTGTCTTTGAGAGTAGAATCTATTTGTAAAATTTCAATGGGAGATCCTAAGGGAATTGAGAGTTATGGACTCATCAATGAAGAGTGTCAGTTTTGACTTTGCAAAATCTAGGAACTGTCCATTAAGCTCCGTGATTTTTCCCACCAACCATGTGATTTTATTTCTAGCTTAAATTAGACTGTGACTCATCAAATTGAGACTACTTTCAAACAAAAATAGTTTCATCAAAAAATTCCTTGTGGTTTGAAAGATATGGTCCATTAATTGAATATTGCTCAAGTGTTATTTTCTACAACGAAAACTATTTCAATGACTTGGAAGTCATGATTTTATTTTCATTCTTAACATAATGTTTTATAGTCCATAATAAGTTTTTAGAATTTCATTATGAGTCTAATTTCTAATAAAATTTATTTGAGAGAGAAATATCTATGGGAAGAGAAGAATAAAAATTTTGGATTGAAGAGAGGTCATCTTGAAGTTTTTATAATTTGGTATATTCTTCATTGAGACATGAACAACTATATTTATCAAGCATTCTTAATAGAGTGATATGAGGCTTGTGGAAATATATGATTTATTATTATTTGTCTACTTTCAAACAAAATTAGTTTGAAAGGAAAA